TGATGGCAAGCAGAGTCAAGTGGGATTTTCATCTGGCTAAGGCCAGAAACACAGAGAGGACAATTTGGGGTGATGCCACAACAGCAAATTAGAAGAAAAGTTGGAGACAGAGGCTCCTAAGAGATCCAGTCAGAGACAGAAGTGTGGAAGACAGAAGAGCGAAAGCCAGGACCAGTCAGGAAAACATCATGGATAGGCCACTGATTCCAATGAGAAGTGGGAGATGCCTGGAGAGGCAGAGCCACAGCAGAAGTTTCCAGGAGCCTGGCGGGTCTACTGGGCTGTATCTGATGATCCCTCTTCTCTACCTGGAACCGGATTGCCCAACCTGCCTACATCCCAAAGAGCCTTGACCTTCATCTTCTATAAATGAAGCACAGATAGTGATGAATAGTGTGTGGGGGCGGGGCTGTGTGTGAAAAATTAATACCAGGATTGATCTTTTCCTGGTGACCTTAAAATAACCATGCAGATTTAACTACATGCTTTGGCATCCTCAATTTCTTAAGCCAGTCTGACCTCCAAGTCTGACAAAAGAACAAATGAAAAGTCTTCTTTATGGGTGACCCTCATGAGCTGTGTTTGACTCCAAACACCCAACTAAGTCTATAACAGGGTACAGGTGAGTGCATGTGTTCTGTGTTAACTTGCTGTGTCACCTGGGATAAGTTAATGTCACAACTCTGAGCCCCAAGTTTCTTCATCCACGAAATGATGGAGCTGGGCCAGGGAGTTTTCTGTCTCTTTGCAACTTTGAAATTCGATGAACCTAAACAATTACATGTAGAACAGTTGCACAGTACTTAAGAAATGCCGCCCTGACCGGTTTGGCTCAGTGGATAGAGCGTCGGCCTGCGAACTCAAAGGTCCCAGGTTCGATTCTGGTCAAGGGCATGTACCTTGGTTGTGGCCACATCCCCAGTAGGGGGTGTGCAGGAGGCGGCTGATCGGTGTTTCTCTCTCATCGATGTTTCTAGCTCTCTATCCTTCTCCCTTCCTCCCTGTAAAAAATCAATAAAATATATTTTTTAAAAAAAGAAAAAGAAATGCTTTGAAGTACTTGCATTGGTACAGGTATCGACGATGGAGGGACTTTATCCCCTCATTGCCTTGGATTAATAGCTGTCCCTCTGCCCTTCTCCCTTCCCACCTCTGTCTTTGCAGGTGTGCATCCTCGAGTGTGAAGGGAAGGTCTTGCCCAGCCCTCTCTGGACCCCATGCACCAAGATCATTGCCAGGGGCCCCTGGCAGCTCAGCCCTGCTGACCCAGAGCACTTGGCAGCTGCTCTTTACCAGCCAGGAGCCTCCGAGATGCATTTGAAGCGAATGCCCCGTGTCAGGAGCCTTGTCGAAACACAGAAGGAGACAGAGCCTGGCACGGATGAGGCTGGAGAGGAGCAGAAGCAGCTGCAGAAGAGGTTTGGGGGCTTCACCGGGGCCCGGAAGTCGGCCCGGAA